ATACTATACATTCTTTTGAATGTATGCTTTTAGTTGGAAGTTTTGTACTTTTACAGGCATGGAAGATTTACAAATATTTTCCCACAAGTTTTGTATTTTTAAATATTTTTATCCCTTTCCGTCACAGTGTGTTCGGTGTGAACACACCAAAAATATTCCCTCTTCGGACACTGAAAATAATCGATAAATATCACGAAAACTACACTAATGGTTAGTTTTAATCTCTTTTATGAATAATAGATGCCAGCACCACACAAGCAAATCATTAATGTTGAGATATACTCTGTTTTTAAAGAAACTGATTTTTCAAAGAAATGTTTCAGATTTTTTTTTAAATATAAAGAAATGAAAAAAAAAAATCTTCATATAATTTTGTTGTTCATATGCCAATCTGCCTATCCTGTATTACTTTTAATTTTTATTTTTGAAATATTGCGTACAGTGAAGCCTTCAGTGTATGGTGTCCTGTTAGCGCCTGTCACGTTTGAGTGAGTCACAGAATCTGGTCTCGTGCTTCAAACACGGGGGAGGCTGAGAGCGCAGATTTATTTATATTTGTTTTTATTCTTTTCTGTTTTTGGTTTTGAAGACCCCGGCGCTTTGTTTCCAGTTAGCTATTTGATTTTCAGTGAGAGCAGTTTCTAGTCAATAATTAATTGTAAGTATTATAGTAGTTTAATTATTTCTCTTATAAATTTTAAAATTGTGTAAATGACTCAGAGAGGCCTCAGCATTGCCAAAGCAATGAGAGTTTCCTTCCCCCCCAGTTTTTTTTTGGGGGGTAAAGTAGCAGGCGTTCCCTAGGTTACGCTAAATCTGCTACAGAGATCAGATTCTACTGTTTCTAAATCATACACAAAGTACTTTACTGTAATACGTGCTTCACAGCAATGCTCACCTATCGCAGCTCGTGTGGCTCAGTGTGTTTGTTCACTTCGGACACACCCACAAAATGGAAACGGTTTGTGCAATCTTTGTAAAATTATACCTGCATACTGTCCTAGGCCTAAATAGACTGCCTAAAATTTTTTTTGATAAAATTCCAACTTTAAAGAGTAGCGTGCCGGAAAGGCTAATGATACAAAAACGGTAAAAACCTGATTTAAGTCGTGTGTTTTTGTTACTAATAAACACAAAAAATACGTAAAAGAGATAAAAATAGTCTCACACGTAAGTGGATAGGTGCCTGGATGCTCAGGCAAAAGAGGCAGAGACTATGTTATATTACAATTTATAAGTGAGAAAACAATATGTGAAACCTATTCTAAAAAGAAAACAATTTGCAGCTAGCCATAGTGTTATACCACACTACAAATGAACTAGATTTGGCCAAACATTTGAAGCAGGTATTTGTTAACCTTTTAAATGGTGTGGTGGTGTATTTAATTACGGCAAAGCATACTAGGGCTATCTTCCTAAGGGGAGGGATGTCATCGTGGAGGATTTTCTAAGGGAAACTGGCTCGTTTACACGTTACACATGGGAAAAACCACGAAAACGCCCATGCAGCCAGCCCGTTCGCGGGATTCGAAATGCTCACTATCATCAAAGAATGAAAGTTGCTGAGGATGCCACCAAAATTGCACCAGTTGATCCTGTGGAATTCTGAAAGAGCCAATGCCTCTTTATTCAATGAACAACTATACATCAACTCTTTATTAATTTACTATTTTTACAGACTAGCTTTTATTGTAATTATGCTTTAGATTTATTTAACGTACACAGGAGACCTAGGAATGCTTTATTGCAGAGGAGAGCACATTTTATATTAGTTGAATAATCGGTTTAATTAATATATTGTTAAATTTAAAAAGCAACATATTAAAAAATAATTAGTATGATAACAATTTTTTATCCCAGCTATATTTGATTAGAAAGCTTTTATATGATAGTAGTAAAACAGATAAATGCAAGCCAATTATTCTTTTTACTTAATGAAAAAATTAGAAACAAATCTGCACCTTAATTTTATTCAACTCATATATGCTCCTGAAGTAAGTTGCCATTGTTTAATATTATACCTTGTAATACGATCGACATTATACAGCAGTTCTCTGCAGCACAAAACACATCCATCCAAAGTAAATTATGTAATTTGCTATTCAAAATGAGGAAAAATAGCAGGATGCTAAAACAAATATTTTTAATTCACTATTGAGGCATTTTATAATATGAATTTTAAGCAGATTACATAACTCGATAAAAATTGCTGAATTTTAGAATTAAGTTTCCATGCTGTTAAACTGCCTTTGTTTACCTACTGGTTAGTCTCAAAGTCATTACACATATCATATCTGCATAATATAAACCATACATGTCTTTATGAAATTTTCCCTGTCTGCAAAAATATATTAATACATGTTCATTTGAAAACATAAATATATAATAACTCCAATTTTGTTTCCACATTGTTTTATTTTTCTGGACACAACAAAGATATTTAACAGTTTTAATATTAAGTGTATAACATAAATGTATTTCCATATATTTATAATAATTAGCAAATGTACTTTGTCCACTGATCATCCAGAGTCACTGAAGATTTCTTAAGTCTAATGGTAAACAGTATAGCTGAAGTATGCACTAGTCTTACGAAAATCATCATTAATGTCTGTCTAGATTTTGTGTGACAACTTGGCTAGTACAAGGTGCCCAAAACAAAATTGGCATGGAATTTCATGAAAATGTACTACAGTCAAAAGTCGTTAATCCGGACTCATCAGGACTTCGGCGATTCCGGATTATAGATCATCAGTTTAAATCTCGTAAGATTGCATGCACAAATTCTAAAATTAAAAATATGAAACCGTAATTTATGAAATAAAGAACATTATGATCTAAAGGGTATCAAAATTGCAAAAAGAAAAAGCTTAATATTATTTTTGTTTATAAATAAACATTTCTTTCAATGTAAGTTTTTTAAGTTTTGCTTTGTTTCATGTGATAATACTTTCTCTTAATTCTATTAAACAGACATAATTTCTTGTTCAGTTACAAAGTTCCGCTGTTCAAGTCCTATAATTGCTGTGTCAAGAACACCGACTATTTTGTCAATTGAAATTTTTTCGTTTTCAATAACCTCTGTTACTATCGGAAGCGAATTATAATGACGAGGAACTGTTTTTAATCATATCAAGACGACGAGCATATCGAGATGAAATACTACATTTGGTAAGGAATTATAAGCCAAATAAAATAAAAACATCTGATCTTCAATTATAGCAAAATAAAATAAAACTCTGCGCTGAAGATAAGGATAGTGCTGACGATCAACTTCCCATTCATTATGCACCCGCTGCGGCGTTTCCCCCCACCGAGCAGCGTAAAATTGATAACAGATTTCGGATTTCAAAATACTTCGCTTTAGATCCTTTACATATTAACAAATATATATCGAAATTCTACTTGATATAATCGAAAGTTTAGCTTATTTTTATAAATTGCTCTTACAGTCTGCAAAAAATAATAAGCCGGATCCAATTCGAAAATTAGGAACACGCAATCATCACATTAACTGAAATAGATAATTAGATAATTTTAGCTTATACGTCCATTATACATAAAACGCGCACGTGAAAACGTATTCTGCACTTGCACACACTCATATGCGCAGTCGTAAAAGGTCTTACGCGCACGCGTAAATGCCTATGCGCATGTGTCAACGCGGCGCATGCGCAGAAAGTTTTTAGTTTTGAGGTAAGGATTATAGATCATTCCGAATTATGGGTGTCCGAATTAACGACTTTTGACTGTATACACAGCAGAGATCATTGTAAATCCACACATTTACAACTGGGTGTGAGAGGAGCATTTGCAGACATTCTTAGCAGTCAGTTGAAGGCAAAACAAAATGGTGGTAATGCTGAAACAGTGTGCGTTCACGGTTGCAAAATGCAATTCATAGATATTGTGTGCTCAAATAGCTGATTGCACAATAGTTTAAGAATAGAATTGTGTTGGCATTACCTCACAAAATATGGAGTGAAAAATGGAATGAAATGGGCTCTGCATAATCTCAAGTTTGGTGTTTAGTAAGCAAAGTCCAGTTTTTGCATTATAATCCAGTTCTTTCACCAAACTTTCAAAGCTCACTGGGATGTTCAGAACCATTTCAGCAAGTTGTGCATAAACTCTCAGAGAATAAACTTTATGGATATTTTCTGCAAGATGAAGCAACAGCACACAACACGTGTCTGAGCTCATCATGAAGTTTTCAGTTATGAGAGGAGAGTAATACAGGTAAAAGCTCCTGGCCACTACGATCACATGATCTTTCTCTCCTTGTGCTTTTTACCTGTGGGGCAAGATAAAAAATCAGGTGCTCTCAAATAATTCTGACACCAGCGGCATAGCTAGAGGGGGGCAAGAGGGGGCATCTGTCCCCGGGCGCAGAATCCAAGGGGCGGCAAACTGATGTTACGACATTTTAGAATTAAATGTTTTCCATCCTTGGTAAGCAATAGGCGCCCATGGACAACCGAAATCTTCAGTTGTCCATGGGCACTAAAAACCCTAGCTACGACTGTCTGACACACTACACAACATAAAAAAACACTACTGCTATCATCCCTCAGGCAGAGCTGCCATTAATGTCTCACAATTTGATAAATAGAGCACAGCACTAAATTGCCTTCACAGGTGGCCTTTTCCACCATTTTCTGTATAGTGCACGTAAAGTGTATTCATATCAGTAACTAAAGAGTACAACAACTATCATAACAGTAAATTTAGTGTTAGAATAATGCACATTTTCCAGGTCAATTTTATTTTGGCCACCTTGATATAGGAACTTATTATTTGCTCTGGCTTTCATACACTTTGGTTTCATATACAGATTATGAAACACAGTGTGAATGAAAGGGCTATGCAACAGAATTTTAAATAACAAATACTTTTCCCAATTTTATTAGATATGTAAGCATCACTATAATTAATTTATTTTATAGGAAGAACTACACCAACTGATCATTTGGTAAACTTATGCAGAATTTTGCACCAAATTATAAAATATTCAATGACTTTTTATTTCATAATCATGAACACATACAAATATTGTATCATTAATAGTTCAGTTCATTACCAGGAAATCCTACACACTGTTCATTTATGCACATTATATTACAGTATGATTTATACAGATCTTTGCAAAACACCTTGCTTTTAAAGTATTTAACAACAGTAAGTGCAGAAGTGCAGTAGGAATTTAAATATCAGTTTAAAGCATAAAAGTAAGTTTCTTGACTAACATGGCCCACACCCTTTTTTACAAGGTAACACATTAACCCTCTGGGCAGCAAGATTACCTTTATCTGGTCATGAGATTTTTCCTCAATGGATAAATTATATTGTTATTTAAAATATTTTGTTTTAATTTTTTCAAACAATCTAACTATCATCTTTAATACAAGGAAGATTATGATAATAAAGAGTAAAAGAAGTAACTATAAAAGTCTAGTAAATAAATGCCATTTAAACACAACTCTTCATGAGTAGATACACAAATTTCCACAACTCAGAGGGTTAAAACAAATTTGATTACTATCCATACAAAAAAAAAAAAAAAAAAAAAAAAAAAAAAAAAAAAAAAAAAAAAAAAGAGGTTGCATCATAATGGATTGTTAACTGGTTTGAATATGCAGTACAGAAATCTCCAAAAATAATGAATAGAATCTTATAAAAATAATAGAAATACAAGGCAATATACATCACATCACTTTGGCAGTTTAGACCTTCAATCATTTACTTATTTACAGATTTAAAAGTAAGTGACAGCTAATAATTTTGTCAGTTTTGAAGAGAAAAACTAATATTCAGTAAAGCAATGTAATTAATGAAATAAAATGCAACATACAGATCCAATTAATTTCCGTAGATTATTGCATAGAATTAGAAAATGCATTATATGCATTAAAATATGTGTGACAGTTTCAAAAACTATTAAAATATTACCACTAAATGCTTTTTTCTCTACATAAATATTTTAATAATCAAATTTAATGATAGGTATAATTCAATAAAATTTTTAAATATAATATTTTTCACAAATATTCAGTGCCATAAGATCGTTGACATAATTTAAAGGTGCAATCAACAAATAAGCAAATTATCAATAGCCCATTTAATAACCTTGCATTTCTAATGCTGGGTGAACAAAGCTAATAACTGGATGCACTTCATAATAAGAGGCACATTGTCTACACCGAATTTTGGAATTAAAATAAAAGTTATTAGGGCAAATATATATGAGTTACAGTTAAAGTAATTTACATGCAGCTCTACCATTCCACTACTGCTGGGGTCAATACCATGGCACACATGTTACAAACAATATGGGATTCACTCATGGATTGACTCAGCACACATACGTTACTTTTAAAAGAAAGTTTTGAGCATAATCTTCTGACTAGTATTTTCAAGAAGTCGTATTTTTATTCTTTGGTCACTAATCTTAAGACATGGTAGAGCGAGAAGAAAAGAGAAAAGAAGTCTATAATATAGCACTTTCCACATGAATTACCTATGAAATTTGGCATGAAACACATGTGAAAGCATTTAGTGATATTTGTATTCATATTACAGACCTTCAAACTTTAAGAAAAATAATTAGTTTACATGGTAAAAAGATAAATTTAAAAGTTGCAATTTTATTCATATAGCAGTAAAAGTAAAAATTATTGCCAACTACTGCACAACAAAGAAAAATTTTCTTTTTTTAAATCGATTGCATTTTTACATTATGTCAGAGATAATTTAGTTAGAATAAAAAGCAAAGTCCAAAATCCCCAGAGATTAATTGGAAAATTATTATTATATTTAATTTTTCATTCAGCAATGTGTTAAACCTTGCCAATTCTATGAGATGCATCCAATATAAACTGAATTTCAAACTATGACACCTGCTCAGTAGAAAGTAACCCCCCAAAAAGTCGTTTACTTGCTGAAAAGCATATTTTTAGAATCAATTAACAGGCTCTCGCTTCCTAGCGATGTTTTCCTCTCGGTCAGTGCTTTCAGAAATAGGTGTATGAATAGGATCCGAAAATAAACTAAAAGACCATGTACTAGATTTTGATGAACCAGAAAAGTTATCTTTCACATCATTTAACTGAGACATCCAAAGGGCACTTGGGGTATGGAAAGGATCAAATTCCCCAACTGCAGGATTCTGAAAAAGATATATTTAAAATATTTTAGAGAAATAAGCATTTTAAAGTATGCATACTTATTGAAATAGAAAAATTTTAAATACAAATAAAACAGACAGACCTTGTTTGCATGAATAGATTTTTCCGGATCCGAGGTTATATTTTCACTTATACCATCATCAAAAGTACTGCAATTATCACAGGAAGGGGAAGACCATGAAGAAGAGTCAGTTTCCCAGACAGATGCAAATGAATTAGCCTTCCAAGTGCCACATGGTAATAAACTTGGCTGAAAATGTGTTACAGAAAAACTCAGTAAGTAAATTTAATAGTTCCCCCCCAAAAAATTTTCTCAATGCTATAGAGAAACTCCATGGTCTAGGACAGTAGTCGGCAAAACACAGCTCTTTTTATTCAGTTGAGTGCAGGTCTCCCACGAATGACTTTAACTATATGTGGGCAAGTGGGGTGTCAAGGAGGTACATGCGACTTAGTTAAGAGTGCCAGTCACATCTTGTTTAACAGTGTATACAACGTTCCATGCCTGGCTTTCCGAAGAGTCTCGCACAAGTAACGAGAGTATCTGTTTTGTGCATTAAGCTATTTGTATATCTCACCAGCTGCAGATCTCATGGGTATTTTGTAATTAATTCACAAGTTCTTATAACTCTGTGTTGCTGCTTTAACAGTTCTAAAACAAAGCATGTTTTTAGTTGACCCTACTTAACATCGCAACAAAGAAGAAAAGTAAAAGTGGGAGGAAAAAATTATGAGTTTGAAATTGAATGGACTGAATTGTTCCTGTTTATACAAAATTCAAACGACCTTCTGATGTGTCTTATTTGTCATGAAAAATTGGTGCATAACAAGAAATCAAATTCGGAGATCCACTTTACAACTAAATACGTGCCATTTGACAGTAAATATACCATTCATGATGTGAAGAAGAAAGTAGTCAATGAACTTCACAAGCATCAAGCAAAATCAAGTTGTGTATTTAATTTCTGAGAGCAATCTTCTACCAATGTTATTATAGCACACTTTATTGTTAGTCAAGAGACTACTATGAGAGGCAAAACATACATATATGGTGAACACATTAAAAGTCATTCTATAAATACATCTGAAATGCTATTCCAGGATTTTATGCGAAAGGCAAAAATTTTTTAAAAAATTTGAGTTACCATTGTCTGCTAAAGTAGCGAAAAAAGAACAGTCAAAATGTCTTTGAATATATCCAATCAGCAGATTAAAGATCTTAAATCAGTTTCAGCTATATCAGTAACTGTTGACAAATCCTGTAACATAAACGATAAATTTTTAATAATACGAAAGTGAAGGAATTTAGAATGTTTCACTTCCTTGTTATTAGAAATTAATGCATTTCTCCTTTAGAAGATTATTGATTGTTCTGAACTAATGGATGATCAGTGGACCAAGAATTTTATATATTGGTGGACGTTACCTCTCAGCTAAGTAATCTTAAACAACAGAGGAAAGGAAACACAATATTTCTGAGGATGGAAGAGGTAATTTAATTTGAAACTAAATTATCCCCTTATGTTCAGGATTTTGAAAGAGTTACCATTAATTCATTTTCCAAGCCTGCTGAAACACAGTGAAGAAAATAACTTGGTAAATGACATTTACTATTTCAAAACAACAGTTTTAAACATGAGGAAAGCTTTTTTATGGAAATTCTGGGAATTTCGAAATAGCACAGTGATATAAGCCACTGTTAAGAAACATTTCAATATTGATGTCACAGAACTGAATTTTTCATCTTTAATGTTGACACTGCAATAGTATTAATACTGACATTGCAATTTCCTCTTTAATATTGCATTTTCCCTCTTAAATATCAGCATAGTTTTGATGATGCTTATTCTTTGTCTCAAGATTTACTTGATTACTTCTTTTCAGCGGTCTAAACCTTATAAAGTGAAATTCAACCTGCTCAAAATCAAAGTTATGATGGTATATATAAAAAGATGAATATTGACTGCAGACTATGTTTATCACTATGGTACATTCTTATAGAAGTTACTCAATAAAGCATTTAGGAGTTATCCTGGATAACAAATTTTAGTGCAATTATCATATTTTCCATCTCTCTGGAAAATGTGAAAAGGTATTATCAGGATTATTTAAAATTTTTAGAACCATCAGTGGAGTCAAAACAGATTTTCTTATACTGATCTGTAGACAAGGAGTAGTGCCAGTTATTTCCTACACGTCAAAGGTTTGAGCACATCTTTACTGAAAAAAGTAAAATATCAGTTTCTAATGAAAATTCAGATTTCTTTTAAGAATTGCTTATGGCTAAGAAAATTACATGCTTGCTAAAAAAATAAGCAACAAAGACAAAACATGGAATAAAACAAAAACTACTTTATGGATATGTGTGATTGTGAAACTGCTCCAAGAGGTTGTTGAGGTATTACTAGACCACACAGCAAACAATAAAGCGAAGACATACAAAAACACATGTGATACAACCATCACATCATGAAAGAGCAAATGGGTTGGAAGAATGAGCCATACAAACAAAAGTTAATAATGGGTATGACACCTTTTACATGAAATACATGCTTGACAATGGCTAGGGAAGCTGACAATAGTGTCATCGATCGCTTGTTGGGAAAGCAGTGCCAATTCTGTAATAATGCATGTCGCAGCTTATGGTGCCTAGTGGCACATTGCAACCTACTATCCATCATCACACTATGTCCCACACATGCTCTATGGCAGGGGTTCACAACCCTATGCTTGTAGACACCATGTCGCCCACCAATTGTTTAACGTGTGCCTGCCGCTGAGCGATCACAATAAAAATGTTAAAAAAAATACAAAGTGAAAGTTTTCTATTTTTAATGAAATAGAAATTGTGTCCAACACATATACCACCACAATGCGAAATGTGACTGATCTCCTTTTTTTTTATATTAATTTATAATGAAATCTATCCAATTATAAATTTACCTTGAAAAAGTAAAATGTGCCCGCCATCCAACATATATTCTAGAATGTGCTCTTAAGGACAAAAGGTTGGGAAGCCCTGTTGTATGGGATTCAAGTCAGGTGATCTAGCAAGCCACAGGTGATGTGAAATGGTTTCACTCTCCAGATAATTCCACACCATTCAAGCTCTATGCGGGCAAACATTATTGTCCTCAAATATCTCGGCAGTATGCATTGCAGCAATAAAAGGAAACACGAGAAGGCGTACAATTTCACTGTAATATTGGATGGCTGTGACAGAACCACCAAGAATCATGCAGAGGTCGGTGCGGTTGTTTGTTGCCTATACAAGTAAGTCTCCTCTTCCGTAATGCTCTCTTTCGACAAAGTTTAGCACCCGATAGTGTATCCCGGGTTCTCGTCATATCATTGCCATTCACAAATCATTCTGGATGTTAAATTGAGACTCATTCATAAACAGTACATGGCTCCACTCCTCTAATGTCCAAATGCGATGTTCACCAGCCCAATTCAAACGTGCTATGACGTGTGATGGGGGAAAAGGAACTCAATCCACAGGTCGTCAGGCATACAGTCTACCTCCATGCAGTCAACCTAACAAATTTTGGTGGGATATGGGCCGTCTTGCAGCAGCAGAGAGATGCAATGCCAGCTGCCATACTATTAGTGATCTATAGCATCTTGCATATAGCAACAAGAAGTGATTGTCTACTTTTATGGTAATCCTCCACTGTTAAGACCCACATCTTCTGCAGGGGTTTTGAGCCCTTCAGTAATGATTCCAGTCTATTGATAAAACTATGATGCTCATTCAGATCTCTCATAACTGTGGATTGTCTTGCACCAGTTTACAACATCCCAACAGATCTCCAACACATTTCATCAAAGAAATGAGCTCATGATTTCAGCTCATGACTTCCACTTTGGCTAATTTGGATTACATGGAAGGATCACTGCTTGCGAACTAGTTTAAACTACCTCATAAAAAAAGTTCTTGAACATAAATTTGGCTCATAAAAGAAATTTTAATCGTTGTACTGCTGATCTCTGATGCTTTTGACTAAAGAATTTGCCGACCACTGGTCTAGGACAACCTTAAGGATAAGTTCAAAATTAAAAATCTAGAAACACTTTAATCATACCTTATGGATGCATTTACAAATAGAGATAGCATCAGCATAAGATGGACATATTAAACTGTTTTCTGTATGGTGATAATGTCACATCTAACATTCATATTTAATCTCAGATGATTTCTAAATAAGTGTCACTTTTTAGTAATACTTGTCTTTAAACCTGACAATTCATTAAAAAGAATAAAAGCTCTTAGTATTAGTATTAGTAGCTCTCTTTAAAATTTTACATTTGTTAATTTACTTTAAGTGACTTTACTTTTAAGAAATCATTATGATAACAACAGAATATAATTTAAACACCTTTTTTTCCCCTCCAATGGTGGGCACTAGCCATTATAAGCACTGGCCACTACTAAGACCAGAAATAATGGTCATTTTATCATGAAGGCACCTAATAATTGGGCCACTGTTGCCTCCTATGAAAGGACAGACAAGTTACAGCTATGCTTTCTCTGGGATTTGAACTTGGGCCTTTTGGTATGGCAGTAAGAGTCACTAACCACTTTTTCGTCCGAGCAGCGTAACTCAAACATGTTGCTATATATTAGAAAGGGAGGTGTTGACAGTGAACACCAGAAAAATCATGCAAAAAATTTCTGTATGCAAAGTTTTTTTTAGTAAAAATACATAATCAGACTGTACATTCATTAACCTAAAAAAATTATAAGTATATATATATATATCAGATGTATCCAATGAAACTATCATGCCCACTTATGAACATGCCTTTTTAATATACCAATTAGAACTACTTAAAATTATTAAATGAGATTCTCACACACAATAATACTCATGCTAAACTGATTGAGTTCTATTTTAATTGCATACCCAGATCTAAAATTTATAAGAAAAATTAACTGTGATTATTCACAACAATGGAAGCAATTTTTATTAACCAGATCCAGAGATAATAAAACAAAAACTCAATTTTTTAACTCAAGCATTTAAAGGAAACACATCATCTAAGGAAAATATACCATCAATTTGATAATCTAATACGTAACAGCAATGTAATAATGCCGCTCAGCCGGTATAGTGGTTAGTGACACCGACTGCCATAGCCATGGGCCCAGACTCAAATCCCCAAGAAAGCATTGTTGTAACTGGCATTAGGTGCTTCCATAATGAAATGGCCACCACTTCCAGCCCTTGCAGTGGTGTAAGGCTAATG